TTTTATGTTAATTTTCATGAATAAATTATAATCAAATAATTGAAGTAAAAGACTGAAGTAAATCCTTTACTGCGCTATAGATATTCAGAAGTTGAGTTGAACTTATAACAAAGCATTGTTTTCTGGAGAATATAGTTGTTTAATCCATGTTGTTAAGCGTTTTTATTATATTTGTTCCTTTATATTTGGTAAGATTTGGTCACACATATGTGTATAATGCACAGTAGATGTTGCACATTCTCAACTTGAAAGTTCATTGTCCTTGTATGGACGACAATATGAGATAATTTCTTGTGGAAATTGATGGCTTGTAAAACTGGTAATTATATTACCTGAAATATACAAACAAATACCATGTTAAATTAGTTTCATTATTGGCAATCAAAAGTTTTCCATAGAGTAAGTCAATCAAACTAATATTTAATTAATTTCAAATCAAGATGTTTTTTTTTCCAGTATATTTTGTGGGTGACTTCACTTACAAGCCAAGATAAAAAAAAAAATTATCATATAATTCTTGTTCTGGACCACTAAACATTCAACCAATCGACTCTTTAATACAATACGAAAATGAAAGTCGATAATATGCAAATACGGTTATATTGTAACAATTTCTGCCGATAATTTGTCATTTTCGATTATATTGTAACATTTTCTGTCGATAATTTGTGATATTCGATTATATTGTAACATTTTCTGCCTATTATTTGTAATATTCGGTTACATTATAACAATTTCGGTCGATAATTTGTAATATTCGGTTATATTGTAACAATTTCTATCGTTACTTTGTAATATTCGGTAATATTGAAACAATTTTTATCGTTAATTTGTAATATTCGGTTATATTGTAACAATTTTGGCCGATAATTTGTAATATTCGATTATATTGTAACATTTCCTGTCGATAATTTGTAATATTCGGTAATATTGTAACATTTCCTGTCGGTAATTTGTAATATTCGGTTATATTGTAACAATTTCTCTCGATGACTTCGAACATGCTTTATGGGGTGAAGCTAGAAAGTTCTTCCAATTTTGTTTTAAGGAGGAGGGGGGGGGGGGGGTAATTTAATGGAGACATGAGAACAAAAATACAACACAATCGCAATATGTTTATCTACAATGCAATTTTTTCCTTATTTCCTCATTTATGTATTGTATACTAATTCCTATGTAACGTAACCTTACTCGTTTTATCACTTGAAAAACCAACCTTAACATTCCCTTACTGTAACATGCTTTACAAACACTTTTTACCACAAAATCGTACGTGCATACTTTGTAACAACAAACCAAACTTAATGTGAAACTTAACCTGGACCTTGTTTTGAAGCTAATGTGAGTGAAGGACACTTAAAACAATGAATATGGAACGATAGGAAATAAATCAGCAATGGCGTGTTAATATTTAATAGATGTTAAAAACAATACATATAAATTTGGATGTAACAAGCATCATTTCGAATGTCATTTATCTTGGGTCACCTCTATGAGCCATTTCCCACCACATACCACTGTAATTTTTTATGCTTTGGATGCCTGAAAATATGATGAAAGAAGCCAGTACATCGTGTATTGAGCAGGTAAAATATGAGAAAAGAATTGAAAAAAACGAAAGACAAATGGAAGGATAATACTAAAATAGTAAAAATAGAATAACAATTTTTACTTGAAGTTGCAATTATCCATTTGTTACATGTTCCAACCTACAATGGACTATATTTATTAGTTATTCTGGAAAATAAATCATGATTGATAAGAGAGGAAAAGGATGTGGGGGCTATGGGAATATTCAGTAAGCATACCCTGCAATACCAACAAATATCTTAAAAGTATGTTCTTTCTACAGGCTTTACTATGGGGAAAAGGTGGCGATAAATACAAGGTGAATATCTGTAATCTATTATCCATTTAGAGTAAGCACGCCAACAATAATTTAAAAGCATCTCAAGCCACTTTTAAAACATTTTTAAACCTCACTGTTGATTGGAAAGGGGTCAGATATGGGGATGTGAAATGAATTCTGGTACAGCTTTAGGGTAGGTATACCCTAAATATGTCTGGCAATATCAAGTTTCAGCGAAATCCGTGCACCGAAACAAATCGAATGAACTTCCCCGAAAACTTATTATTAGTCAACAATAATTAGACCTAACACCTAATCAAGCCTTACACCAAAAACGCCTAACACCACCAGGAAAACAATATCAGCAGATACTGGAAATATACCTACACGACCATTCAACCTACTCGAACATCCACCTACCATATTACATCGGTATCCAATTTGTTATGTCAGTAAAACCATTTATTTCAATTTGATACCCAGTCCGAACTATGCATCTGAAACGATGAAAGAAAATCCGGTGTTAGTACACTGTATGGCGGCAAGAACATACAAGAATCAACAATTACTTTAAAGCACCCTCACACCATAGCGATTACCAGCTGCGTATGGTTGTGAATAATAAAAGTGGTCATGAGGACAAAAAGCATAAGAGTTGCTTTCGAAACGTGGCTGCTATTCTTATTGGCAAGTTGGTGATCGATAAGGTGTAAGTGCCCCTTTAGATATTATCATTGGGCTTCCTATGTATCCCTTTTGGTGCTGAAAGAAACCTATATGGAAATAAAATTTCTTCAGATAAGGAACCATTTGAGTGTCATCAGCTGTGTATTGGTACATAGTTTCTTATTCTTAAGCGATTCCCATCTGGTTGTGCGCTTTTCAATGAAGAAAGACAATATAAGTATCAATAACATACCTCATAACACTGGACGTTCTCCCAGTATATGATTTTCCTTGGATGCGTTTAACAATGAGCGGTGTAGTCACAAACGGTTAGATTTCTATCTTAATCCCTGATTTCTTCACACTTTTACGATATAACTCTTCAGAAAATATTTCTTGATAGAAGACCAATCGAACACACATTTACGTTGACGAGAAATCATTCCCAATCAACACCTCAAAACCACGGTATTTGTTTGAGCGTTAAAACGTCTATTGGTTTACTCTGAGTACAGTTCAATCCTTAAGGACCTTAACAAAAATGTTGCTTTGTCCAATTGTGTTATACTTAAAAAATAGTGGGGTGGGTACATTTTGTTTGTGAATTATACGAA